TATCTCCTTTACTGAATGTAATGAATAAACAGCATGAAAAACCAGCATGAATGTATATTGGTTTATTTTTTAAGTCTCACCTTTAGTATTTTTCTAAAAATAAAAATAAAAATCAAGGCATACCTAATACTCCTTCCTCCTCTTAAAAAAGGATTCTTGTTTACCTGACTATAAAAGGGAAGAGATGGGGACTGCATTCATATATTTATTTATTTGCCTTTATTTATAGAATGAAACAGAATAAAGGAAAAAATAATAGCAAAAATAAAACAGGAACAAAACAAAAAAGAAGTCCCCATATATATCACACACATACATACAATACATAACTATTGTTCTTTTCCTCCCTTTTATGTATTATATGTATATGAGAAGCCTATATATATGGCTTATCATAGTTTATAATGCCTATATAAAGCTTCATGTAACAATTTCATCGAGTTGGTAGTTGGAAGGGAACTTCTAGTTCAATCCCCTGACCAGAACAGGAATCCTCATATAGATTATCCTCATTTAGTGAGTGCCTCATTTGGCAATCATTCACAGTTATGACAGTAATAAAAAAAGTTATGATTGGACCTCACATCTTCATAGGCTGATTTGATTTGATTGGTTATTATTATGTTTTCTAAGATGATTTGATTGCTTGTTTGTACTCTTTGACTACTATTAAGTGTTATACCTATGATTTTTGACGAATGAATTTTTTTTCTTTCTTTTTATGAACACTGAGAGCATTTGCAGCAAAACAACTTCCTTGTGTATCCAATCACACTTGGCCAATAAAGAATTCTATTATAAAGCAAAAGGAAAGCTGAAATACAATCCTAAGCACAGTTGTGTTTTCAATTAGCAACTTTTTTACTTAAGATTGAGTTGCCGGTCCATTTGTGGTCACAAAATGAGGACTACCTATACCATTCTGGACAAATGACTGTTCAGTCTTTTCTGAACATTTCTTGAAAGCCTTAAATAATTTAAAATGAAGAAAAGTACTTTATTCATTTCATGGAGGCCATGCTTAATCAACATGTAACTGTTTCAAAAGCCCTAATAATATTAAGTTTTCCAATGAAGGCAGGGGTGGGATTCTACCAGTACGCACCTATTCGCTAGAACCGGTTGTTAACATTCTAAGCAGTTTGGAGAACCGGTTGTTAGAAGAAATTACTGGCCTAATCCTGTAAGGAAGGCAGGAAGGAAACATTCTGGTGTTGCTTATAGAAACTGCCTCTCCATTAACCCTTATTACATTCTTGGCAGAACTAGACTTCCTGTCTCTGGAACTTCTCTGGAGTTTTTTTCCCCTCCTTTGCTGGTACTTTGCTTGTGTGGAGCGACCATTCAAAGTTACAATGTCACTGAAAAAAGTGACTTATGACCATTTTTCACCATTTTATGACTGTTGCAGCATCCCCACAATCATGAGAGGCCAGGCGAGGAGATGCGTGCCTCGATGTGAGTGATATTGAGTTGGCCACACCCAGCCAATAACATGACCACCAAGTCACGCCCACCACCTAAGCCACACCCACAGAACCGGTTGTTAAAAAAATTGAATCCCACCCCTGAGTGAAGGGGACATAAATATATCTTTCCAATGTTTAATTAGTCTCTTAGTAATAAGAATAGTACAGTCTGTTGTGCAAACATCAGTTTCCATCTAGGGGTTATGAAGCTCAAGAAAATACAGGTGTACAAAAGTTAATACTTAATAACCAGGGTTATCCAATCATGGCAACTTTTAACACCTGTGGACTTCAACTCCCTGAATTCCCTAGGCAGCCATAAGTCCATAAGTCTTAAAGTGGCCAAGCCAAGGTTGGACATTTCTATATTAAACCCTGTCTCGAAGTCAAATTAATTAATACATGACATTTCTTCACAGAACCACAGGATCTGGGAAGGCATACATTTTAATGAGTATTATTCTCACTTATCTAATACAACGTTTCTCAAACTTGACAAATTTAAGACACGTGGACTTCAACTCCCCAAATTCCTCAGCTAGCATGCTTGTTAGCTAATCTATAGTATAATATACCAGTGTTTCTTAACCTTAGCAACTCTCAGCAATTCTGGAATGTCTTAAATTACAATGTCTTAAAAGTTGCCAAATGTTAAACACTGGACAATAATTTAGAGCCGTTCAACTAGTGGCCCAGATATACAAAGATGTCACAGCAGAATTTAGCTTCCTGCTCAACTACGTTGATTTAGAAAAGCCACAACATTATTTTTCATAACCACAAAGCTGGCACCTTTGCATGACCCTCATTGTCCCGAACAATAAACAGGCGTATTCCTTGCCTATGGCATGAGGAACATTGTTTTATAGGTACACATTTAATTTATTCTCTTCCTTGTAAAATTAGAGGGAATTTCCTATACCCACTGACGCCTCATTGAGAATGCGTAAGGATTGGGTCTCACGCTGGATGGGAGGGTGGGAGGTCCAGATGGACATGTCCCTACCTCCATTTGCAGCCTTAAACATTTTCACCAATAGCCCAAGAATTCTTTGGAGAAAAATTTACCCGAGTAATTTCATCCAATATATACTCAGGGAAGGGTCATCCACGGGGATGTGTGGCATGGCGAAAGGCATCAAAGGCAAGAAGGCAGCTCCAGTGGCACAAACAGAGTCCCACGCTTTCTTTATATACCCTGTTTTCTTTTTTTACTATAAGATGCTCCGGAACCTCACTGCTGTCTCAAAGATGTATTTAAATAATTAAAAAATAAAAAAGTTTTTGACAAAAAAGGGCTAATCACATCATGCCAAATGCTTTTAAGAAAAACCATCTAAAAAGTCAACAGCCATAATCCTAACCTCTTTTTCACAACTCTTTTAACACAATAATCTAATGCATGTTGGTCAGCTGAGAGCATGGGAGAGACCAGTGTTTCCATTTACACACCTCTGCATCATTGTGTGTCTTTGCTTCGATTATCAAATGTGGAAGAGGGAAATGATTTTGACCAGCAAGCGGTAAAACACCTTGTGTTTGATTTCCATAAAAAGCAGCCAAGTTTAAAGTCCAAGTAAAAACATATAAATATTACAGGAGCAAATATTTACACATCCTGTATGTCCAAGGAAACACAGGTTTGATTTCCTTCATGCAATGGGCAGGATATGACTGTCCCCAAGAAACCGCCCATTGTGTGCTGTTTCTCAACTTTGACTCTCAACTCTAAGATGCGTGGACTTCAACGGCCAAAATTCCCCAGTCAGTAGAGCAGACAGCCAAAGTTGAGAAATGTTACTCTACTATATGCCTCTTGGAAAGAAAGAAAAAATAAAATAAACGAGAGGCCTTAGATTTCCAAGATGGAAACAAAACATCTTGTGAGGTCCCTTAGCTTCTTGCTTTAGGAAAGCCAGGGTAATCTTCTTTTGAAACTGGGAGTCTTTTTTCTTTAACTTTTCACTTTCCAAAGCTGAATGAATGTGGAAAATAGAATAGAATGGAATAACAAAGTTGGAAGGGACCTTGGAGGTCTTCTAGTCCAACTCCCTGCCTAGGCAGGAAACCCTACACCACTTCAGACAAATGGTTATCCAACATCTTTTTAAAAACTTCCAGTGTTGGAGCATTCACAACTTTTGGAGGCAAGTTGTTCCACTGATGAATTATTCTCACTATCAGGAAATTCCTCCTTAGTTCTAGCTGGGTTCTCTCCTTGATTAGTTGCCACCCATTGCTTCTTGTCCTGCCCTCAGGTGCTTTGGAGAATAGCTTGATTTCCTCTTCTTTGTGGCAGCCCCTGAGATATTGGAACGCTGCTATCATGTCTCCCCTGGTCCTTCTGTTCATTAGACTAGCCATGCCCAGTTCCTACAACCGGTCATCGTATGTTTTAGCTTCCAGTCCCCTAACCATCTTTGTTGCTCTTCTCTGCACTCTTTCTAGAGTCTTAACATCTTGTTTACATCGTGGCAACCAAAACTGAATGCAGAATTTCAAGTGTGGCCACACCAAGGCATTATAAAGTGTTATTCATGTGATCTTGATACTATCCCCCTGTTTATATGATATAACCATGTGGATGAAATGAAGGACTCATATATATATGGTCCTTTTGGAGTGGGGTGGAAATTTTAGGAGGCCACATTCACATTTGATGCTTTTTCCATCCAGTTTCAGCAGCCCAATCTGGAGTTGCGGACAAGGTTAAAAAAGTGAGTTAATGCCTCTTTGAGAGTTGCTTATCCAAGCTGTGAAATGGGGCCAAAGTTCCTTCTTATCTGTTCCTTCCCTCCCCTGTTCCTTCACTGCAGAAGCTTTCCCATGGGTGCCTCCAGCATTACGTCTTGCTTAATGCAACTGTAGGAGATTTAACAAAAGCTCCACCTAAGTCATTTCAGAAGTGGTTGGCCCTTGCCTTTGTTGGAAGTTAAAACCCAGCCCATCCCTAGGAAAATGAAATATTTTAGGATATATTTTTTAAAAAGGCGGAATATTTCCCCTAAAAGAGAGAATTAGAAACTCAGAGAGGCAGAAACTCAGAGAGGCAGAAACTAAGCCCCCACCCCCCTTTGTTAATAGGCCATTAAAGCCTGGGCCAGTCTATTCTACATAACAAAGATCTGTCTCCTTCAGGCAGAGCCATTTCATTGCCCTTCATGGCACCACCCACCAAGTTTCAACCAAACATAGCACACAGACAACCTACAAAGCCAGCTTTGACCTCTGACAGCAACCAATCAGGATACTCTTCCTGTGCCCCAGGAAGTTCAAAAGCTCATAGAGGGCATAAAACCCAGGGACTCTCAGCATCTCCTCCCCTTTTTCTTCGCCCAAGAGCTCCAAGGCATGTGATCCTGTCCACCATTAAACCAACTTTCCAAACAGCCTCCATGTTTCCAGTGTCTTTTTCCCCACTTGGAACTGAACCCAGAAGGATATTTCTTCCAACACCTTCTTTCTTCCTTTTCTTTTGAAAAAACAAATATATTTCACAATTAATTCCATTTCATTTCAATCATGTGTCGACTGGATACATATATCTTGTGCTTACAATTATATTTAATACTTTTCTTATCAATGTAACAGTAATCACATTTTCTTATAATTATTATTTAATATATCTATTTTTAACAATCTTATCTTATTACTTTATATATTCATCTAGTCCATTTTAATTTGTTTTATTTTCCAATCATTGATAAAATAAATCCCATACCATATAATATTCCATTTTTTCTTTTTCTTTGATTGCCAGTCTTTCTAAGGGCTGAGAGAAAGTGACTGGCTCAAAAAAACAAACCCCAGCTGGCTTCATGTTTAAGATAGGAGAACAACTAACTCATGGTGTCCCATTTTTAGGACTTGTGTCTTACGCACCGCACCAAACCGTTTTTTTGTTGTTGTTGTTTCTCTCTGCCAGATGCATAAAAACCAAAGTTTATGCTTTAAGACAGTGACCACCAACCCTTGTGGCTTTGTGGACTGGCAGTGGTGGTGGAGAGACAAGATAGGTCAGCGTGAGTAGTGGCTCAGTGGTTGCACAGTGTGGGCACTCACACATACTGCTCAAGCAAATGGAGCTTCATGCGCACACATGTTCACCCCCTGCTCGCACAAGTGGAGCTGTGTGCATGTGTGCACTTTTACCCACCTCTTGTGCGGCTTGGTTCTGAATGGGCCACGGCCCGGGGATGTGAGGGGGGAGCACCCCTGCTTTAAAACATAATGGTTGTTTTTAAAACACATCATCCGAATCACAGGTTGCAATTTCTATTGGAAAGTGGAATGAATCATTGACCTCACCCCTTTCCTAAGAGGTCTGTAGGGGACGTGCATAAGCGCACCAACGTGCCTACCGTCCCTGTCCTATTGTTTCTTTTTATTTTTCTTATATGTATCCATGTATTCATAACTATGTTTATACTTATATCTATTCTCTTGTAAGCAATCGACAAATCAAATCCAATCAAATAAATAAAATTTTCAAAGCGGGTAAGCAATTAATCCCAGAAAGAAATTACATGAATGTTTCCTCAAGTAACACATCTTTTTTTGTGTGCAGGCAAAGCAGTCTTCACCAGTTGTTTGCTACAGAAAGGATTGTTAGCCTTTTTAATCTAGAGAGAACCAGCCTTGCATAGATTTATTTGTCATGAAAATTACCGGGAGGGGCTTAGTTTACCCAGATTTCAAAAGAACAATTATGTACATAGTTAGGGAAACTTCTAAAGCCTGAGACTATGATCAATGCTTCAAGCTGTAATGTACATAGTTAATTGTTCTAAAGTCATTGTTCAGGAATAAAAGACATTGGGTGTATCCCTGCTATCAGACACTGGATGGCTAAAAACAACACAGACGCCAAAGAACGACGACTCACAAGTGATCACTAACTTAATGGACAAGTGGAAAAGTTATTGGTTTTTTTTTACAGTTCCTCGTAGCCCCTTTGCCCACTTAAAAAACTATCCATCTAAGAGCAAAAATCCCATCCTCTTTCTTTGCCCAATATTGAATAGGCCCACACAAGATAGGATGAAACTGCAGAGTATGTGAAGAAATATTTATTGATAGCAGCTCTGAGAAGTTCTGTTGTTGCTCATATCAAAAATAGCAACAACTCCAGTCTGGGCCCTAATGCTGAAATAATCCAGCCGAGAAACATCTTTTAACCTTTTCTTGTAATCATCATCTCACACGTGGCACTATCCTCTAAAAACACAATTTTCACTCTCGTCACAAGACACCACCATGTCCTGCTGTGTGGCTTCCTGGATTTGCATCCTCGGAGCAAAAAAATGGCTAAGGATCTTTTCCTTCTAATAGATCCAACATCTCAACATTTCTGCAGATTAGCTTTTGTCTCATTTGGGTCTCTTGTGATTCGGGGACTCCAGCTCCCAGAATTCTCAGCAGTGGACCAGGCTGGCTTCTGAATTTTGGGAATGGTTAAGGTTAATGACCAACAATATGCCTTTTCTCAGTTCTCACTTGGGCATGATTTCGGAGGACCAGATTCTCCATGGATCACTCACCCAGTACACACTACTATTCTTCAGAGCAGAGATATCATTTAATTGGGGGAAAGTGGCAATTTAAGGAAAGGAAAAATACTATAAATTCTTATTTCACTTCGGTTCAAGCTAACAGCAGCAGTTCCTCCACCTGACCTGCAATTTGTATATTTAAAGAGTGTTTCTCATTCTTGGCGAACTTTATAATATGTGGACTTGAGGATAGATTCTGATCAACAACAAGTCACTATATTGTCGCTGGATTCTCTAAACTAGTGATTGTCTGCCTTAGCAACTTTAAGAGAGATGGACTTTAATGCCCAGAATTCCCCAACCAGCACGTTTACTGAAGGATTTTGTGAGTTTTAGTGTGACATTTCATTTCTACTTTCTCCCATGTCTGGAGTTTGTGGTGGTGGTGGTGGGGAATCATGAGGCATTAGAGAACAAAAGGAGTTTTACTTCCTTATGCCTGAAGG